CGGGTGTGGTGTCTGTGAGGTGGCACCGGCGTGGTGTCTGTGAGGTGGCACGGGCATGGTGTCTGTGAGGTGGCGCCGGCGTGGTGTCTGTGAGGTGGCGCGGGCGTGGTGTCTGTGAGGTGGCGCGGGAGTGGTGTTTGAGGTGGCACCGGCGTGGTGTCTGTGAGGTGGCATGGGCGTGGTGTCTGTGAGGTGGCATGGGCGTGGTGTCTGTGAGGTGGCGCGGGAGTGGTGGTTGAGGTGGCGCGGGCGTGGTGTCTGTGAGGTGGCGCGGGCGTGGTGTCTGTGAGGTGGCGCGGGAGTGGTGTCTGTGAGGTGGCGCGGGCGTGGTGTCTGTGAGGTGGCGCGGGCGTGGTGTGAGGTGGCGTGGGCGTGGTGTCTGTGAGGTGGCGTGGGCGTGGTGTCTGTGAGGTGGCACAGTGTAGTGTGTGAGGTGGCGCGGGCGTGGTGTCTGTGAGGTGGCACAGTGCAGTGTGTGAGGTGGCGCGGGCGTGGTGTCTGTGAGGTGGCACAGTGTAGTGTGTGAGGTGGCGCGGGCGTGGTGTCTGTGAGGTGGCACAGTGCAGTGTGTGAGGTGGCGCGGGCGTGGTGTCTGTGAGGTGGCGCGGGCGTGGTGTCTGTGAGGTGGCGCGGGAGTGGTGTTTGAGGTGGCACCTGACCTCAAATGAGACCAAGGCAGGTGGATCACAAGGTCAGGAGTTCGAGACCAGCCTGGCCAACATGGTGAAACCCTGTCTCTACTAAAAATACAAAAATTAGCTGGACGTGGTGGCGGGCACCTGTAATCCCAGCTACTTGGGAAGCTGAGGCAGAAGAATCCCTTGGACCTGGGAGGCAGAGGTTGCAGTGAGCCGAGATCATACCATTGCACTCCAGCCTGGGACACAGCGAGACTCCGTCTCTAAAAAAAAAGATTAAGGGAGGGCTGGGCATGGTGGCTCATGCCTGTAATTCCCCCACTTTGGGAGGCCAAGGCAGGCAGATCACCTGAGGTCAGAAGTTCAAGACCAGCCTGAACAACATGGTAAAATCTTATCTACTAAAAATACAAAAATTAGCCAAGTGTGGCGGTGTATGCCTGCAACCCCAGTTACTCGGGAGGCTGAGGCAGGAGAACTGCTTGAGCCCGCGAGGTGGAGGTTGCAGTGACCCAAGATTGTGCCACTGTATTCCAGCCTGGGCAAAAAGAGCAAAACTCTGTCTTTAAAAAAAAAAAAAAAGATGGAGATTAGAGGCAACAAAGCCAACTAGGATGATGTCTCAGTAGCCGAAAAGGGTATCAAGGCCTGAGGCAGAACAACTGGGGTCAAGAGGAAGGAAGATTGAATTGGAGAAACATCCAGAGGATGGGACACCAGCCTGGGCGACCAGCGCTTGCATGGACAGGGACAGGCAGGCTCAGGAAGGGGCCCAAAGCCAGGGCTACATGGATCTGAGGGATGGGACCCCCCGTGCAGCGCCAGTCCTGGGGGTCATGGCTCCAATTCCCAAACAATGGGGGTTTCTCCTCCCAGAGAGAAACCAGGCACCCACTTATGCATCAGACACACACACGCACACCACCCACCACACACACCACACACGTTACACACACCACACACACCACACCCACCACACACGTCACACACACTACACACGTCACACATGCACCATGCACCCACACACACCACACACAGGCCACACATCACACACACCACACCCACCACACACAACACACACGTCACACACATCACACACACCACAGGCCACACATCACACACACCACACATGTCACACATGCACCATGCACTCACACACACACCACACACACCACACACACACCACACACCCACATCACACCACACACACCACCGTCACACACACCACACACAAGCCACCCGTCACACACCACCACACACCACACACGCACCACACACACCACACACCATGCATACCACACATGCCACACGATCACACACACACCACCCGTCACACATCACCACACACCACAGGCCACACATCCACACACCACACCGACGTCACACACGCTGTGCACTCCACACACACCCATCATGCATAGACTCATACATCACATGCCACACACCACACACACCCACACACACACACACCATACACCACACATACCACACATGCCCACTGATCACACACACACCACTTACACACCAAACACACACACCACCTACACATACCACACACCAGACACACAGACATCAGATACACACCACGATCACACACACACCACACCATACACCACATACCACACATACCACACATCCACACACACCACACAGTCACACGCATACCACACACACCATACATACCAGACCACTCGCCTCATACACCACATACACAGACACATGCCACACACCGTCACACACACTTTCACTGTACGCACCATACACACCACACACACACCCCCACACATCACACGCACACCACTGGCACACACCACATACACACGTCACACACAACACACACCACACACACCACATATCACAAACACACACACACACCACATGTCACAAACACACCACGCATTCCACATACCATATACTCTACCACACATACAGGACACACCACACACTACCACACACACACCACACACAGGCCACACATCACGCACACCACACATCATACATACCACAGACCACACACCACACAAACACACGCCATACACACTACCAGAGACCACACACTGCATACACACACTACACACAGACTACACACCACACAGCACACACCAAACATACCACACACGTCACACACACACTACATACTACCCACCACACACCACACATGCTACACACCACACAGCACACACACACCAAACTCCACACACATCACAGACGCCACACACTACACATACCACACAGCACTCACCATACACACCCCACACCACACACATACCACACACACCACACAGACCACACATACACTACACCACATACAACACACATCCCACACACACAGCACACAACACACACCACACATATAACACACATCACACACCACAGACCACACACAGTACACACAACACATAGATCACACACCACACATAGACGTCACACACACCACACACCACATACACCACACATACCACACAGCACACAGCACATGTGCCCCCCCACACACACACACACACTCTTCAGCATTTGACGGCAGCCCTGCCCTCCTCCCACCAGTCTCCCCAACACACCACACACCCTGGGTGCCCATGAGCCCTGGTCCTGGGTCTGGCGAGTCCTTGCTGCTACCCACACCTCACACTCTGCCGGGGGTACCCCATCTCCAGACTGAGCCCCATGCAGCCTCTACCAAGGGTCCTTGATCACCAACTCAGCTGACCACCTGGTCTGTCTCCCAAGGCATTTGAGAAACCCAGGGCCACCTCTACAGCAGGACTGTTGTCTGGTCATCAGTAGGTCCCTGGCACCATCATTCCCCACCCCACAACGTGCTGAGCCGGCAGCTCCCTCCTCCACTCCCGTCCCTCCCGGTCCCCGTGGGGACTGACACCCACGCTGTGCACACCCCAAGCCCTGGCAAGCAGGGACGGCCTGCTTATGCTATGTCCAAAGCAGGCCACCAGCTTTCCAGCATTTAGTGGCTTCCCCAGGTCAGCCCATCTCATAGCAAAAGACTAGAGCCTTCTTCTCTAAACCCTGCTCTCTGCAGAAAAGTTTCATAGCAGGGAAGTCAGGGTTTTCAACTCACCTCAAGCCCCCCGGAAGAATCGACTGGAGAACCCACTGATGAGAAGAGGCAAAGCTCACAGTGCCCTCGGCGTGGCCTAGCACCAGCGTCCCGGAGGACCCTGGGGGATCCCACCCAGCACGCCAGCCACACTGCTCTCCAGCCCTGAGCTGTGGCCAGGTCGAGCAGGACGTGGGCCATCTGTGCCCCTTCTCCAGTTACTGTCCCCACAGGGTGCCCAGGTCCAGCCCACCCGAGCAAGACAGTGCAGCCGCAGTGTGTACAGCTCCACCCACATCCACTCTCCCCAGAGGCAGGGCATGGGCAGGCCTGTGGCCCAGAGGATGGGGCTGCGGGCAAGAGCTCGGGGGATTGCCAAGGCCACAGGTCATTGAGGAGAGAGGTTGACATTGATCCCACCCCACCCCAGCCACAGCCCCACTCAGTCCTGGCTTGCACTCAGAGTTGGCATCGGGAAGTCCTGTTAATTTCTGCCACTGCCCAAAGCTCCCCAACACAGACGACCCAGTGAGTGTGCACAGAGCCCACCTACTCTGTCACGGCTCTGCTATCTCCCTCCCTGAGCACTGCCAGGGCCCCCAGAGGTCTCTGGTGAATGCACCCCCTTAGTAACACAGAGCAACACCTGGGAAAGCCTCCTCAGTCCTGTTCCCTTCCTTAACTCTGTGCCAACCACAGCCTGTGACAGCGGGTGGAGAGGTGAGCAGGTGGGCAGCACTGAGAATCTTCAAGTGAGTGCAGGCTCTCTCCTACATCCAGACAGTTTCTGCAGGAGGTGCCTGTAGAGTCCCAAGTGCACAGGCGCTGCTGGGCTCTGAGCTGCAGCATGGACACCCACCGGCTCCCACAAGAGAGGACCCCGGGCTCTGCCTCGAATGGGGCTCCCAGGACAGCCTCTTACTTCCTGAGCCATCACCACGCCAGAAAAAGTCAGGGGGCTCCCCAGCAGCTGAGGCAGGTGGCTCAGCTAGGCCAGAAACCCACAGCTCTGTTCTGCTGCTTCCCCCAGGCCACACCGTGCGAGCGTGGCCAGCCACCCTGGGCCGTGTGGCGGGGGGGCTCTGCCTCTGCGGGGGCAGGCAGGGTAAGCTGGGTGTTCTGACACTGGGACAGGCCCCGATCACTCCCACCCACTCCGGACGGCTCTCCTCACTCCCTTCCTCCCAGCCCAGAGGAGACCAGCTGGATGATAGCAGCCGCTTCCCAGAGAATCAGCCAGCCTCACCCCAACATTGCCATGTCCAGATCTACGCCCCTCTGAGCCCTTGGAAACAAGAAAGCCTCACCCGGGTCATTTTTAGGAAGTCCAAGGATGGGCGTGTCCACCTGGCGTCCTCCTCACGCCTCCGTTTGCGCCGGCTCCTCTTCCCACTGAGCACGCAGGGCTGTGAGCGGCACCGGAGCAGCCCACGGTGCCGGCCCAGCTCAGGTGTGGACGTGGGGCTGCTGCTGGCCGAGGGCAGGGGAGTGCCCACACCTGCGAGTTGCTCCTGTGAGAGGGACAGGCGTCGCCTCACAGAGAGCAAGTAGGGCTCTGCGGAACACCAGGGCAGGCCTGAGCCTGCACTGCCCTCGCTGCTGTCCACGAAGCCGCTGCTGGCCGAGGACGGCCGGGGCGTGGCGGGTGAGGTGGGACCGGTCAACCACACGGCACTCCTCGGCAGGACGGCGCCGGGGCTTCCCTGCAGTGTTGCGCTCCCACCGCTGTTGCACCGCCTCTTGGAGACTGGAGTCCAGACCGTGGAGCTGCCAGGGCGCCAGGGGGACCGGCAGCGCACCAGCTCCTCAGGTTCTGACAAGGACCGGCAATGTCGCTTGGTCGGTGGGGCCGTGGACGAGCCTGTACTTTCACTGGGGTCCACAGTGCTGGCTGCGCCTAGGCCCACACCTGGGCCCGGGGACTCTGGTCGCCACTGAAGACCCATGGTGTGAGCAGCAGCAGACAGGCCTGGCAGGAAGCAGAAATCAGGTCTCGGGGCTGCCCGGCTTCCAACAGGCCGTCCTCCACTTAAGACCTTCCAGGGACTCTGGTCTACCAGAAAAGACACAAAGAGGCAGTGGAAGAGACAGGTGAGCCACAGGGCAGGCCTAGCCTCTTCCCCCCATGTGGGGTGACATCTGTCCTGGTAAACAGCCTGGCAAAGCCATCAAGGGCACAGCCCCATTGCCATCACCCCGGACGTGCTTCTCCGAGATGTCCATGGCGCACAGTGGGCACCAGCCCCGCCTGCCCTTGCCAGGTTAGCTGCAGGGCTCGGCTCGCTTCTTTAAGGGGATGCTGTGTCTGAAGGAGGTGTCAGTCTCCCCACCAGTGCCTCCCTGAGAACAACTGCATGACTCTGCTCTCCCACAGCCTTGCGAAAACATTCTTCCTGCACCCGCAAAACACCCCTCCCTCTGTGACCACGCATCTCAAGGATGTGCAGCTTCCCTGGCCAGGACTCTCCAGAGCCCCTTCTTAAAGCAGCTCAGGTCCCTCGGTGACATGGGCAACACAGGGTCACACCTGCTGCCAGGGTCTTCAGGGAGAGTCTGAGCCCCAGAAACTCCTCAAAAACCTCAGAGCCACCAGGTCCAGGCCTGGAGCCCCTCCTCAAGTCTCACTTCCTGTGCAACTGTCCTGGGGCCGCCTGCCTGACATACTCCCCAGTCCCCCTGCCACCTGGTTCGGAGAAGCCTTGAGAGCAAGGCCAGGTGCATGGGCCTGGCATGGAATCTGCCTGGGCGGGGTCATCCGGACCCCCAGGACTCACCCAGTGGCTTGTGCAGTCACTGTCCAGCCGAGAAACTTGGAGTGGAGACTGTGAGACCTGCCTCACAGGGGGAAAGGCCCTGGGGTGACTCTGGGGCGGCCAGGAGAGAGATGGGGGCTGTGGGGAGGAGGTGTGGAGGTGTAGGCAAGGAGAGCGGCCGGCCAGGTGAGGAGTGTAAGAAGCCCTGCGGAGCTCTGAGCCAGGATGGAGGTAGCTGGTTTGGCCCCGTGTGCAGGATGAACCCCAGGAGGCTGACGTGAGAACATCACACCACAGGCTAGGCAGAGGGTGGGGGGGCTCAGGCCATCTGGGGCCTCACACTTCCTACTTCCATCTACTTGTAAAAGAATCTGGTAAAACACCTTCACTTTGGTAATCTGGCGCTCAGCAAGGTGATCCTCCTAACGGGCCTATTCTGTGTGACACAGGGCGCTGGGCGCGTCACAGTCGGGTCAGCAGGGCCAACAGAGATGCCTTGGGACCTTCGCTGGGGAAGGACCTGGGACCCCAGGGTTACCTGGCCCATGAACACCACCAGCCACATATTCGGAGCACCTGCTCCCCATCAATGAAGGGCCAACCTGCAGGTGAGCCAGGCACAGCCACGCCCTCCACGGCACGGACAGCAGGTAGGCTGCCCAGTATGCCACGGCACGCTCCAGCTGACACTACAAGCCCTGCCAGCCACACCATCCTGTTCTTTTAGTGGCCACAGGGTGGGCCTTGCACCTTCCAGAAAGGGCGCAGCAGACCCCTGGGCCCCACCAGCTGAGGAGGGAGAGACCTGGTTCGGCCTGCACTCTACACGAGCCGTCCTGCTCACAGACCACTCTTGACCACTGGCCCAGCCGTGCGAGGACAGCAGCAGGGACCACTCCATGCCCCAGTGCAGGGCACACGAACACTTTCCTGGCTTCCGCAGATCAGGCTCATGTTCTGCATCCAGGACCCTCCCAGCCCAGGAGGCTGGTCCCAGCCCTCTCAGGCCTCCAGCCACAGCTCCTAAAGCACTCACCATTGAGCTCCAAAGGGAACAGACGACCGCTGTTGTTCAGGGTTTCGGCAGAATACTGCAAGTGACAGGAAAGAGAAGTTTCAATACTGTGACTGACACATGAGAATTCGGCAATAATATCCCTGCATTTTCATCACTGCAACACGTTCTACCTTTCCCCAGTGTTTTCTTTCTAGTGATTAAAATAAGCACAGTTGTATTAAAACCTAACAAAATTCAACTGAGTAAATGCACATTTTTAAATTTTTTAAAAAATGTTTTATCTTTTTGAAAGAGCTATTAACACTAAACGGACCTTTTTTTTTTCTTTTTTTTTTGAGACAGAGTCTCGCTCTGTTGCCCAGGCTGGAGTGCAGTGGCGCGATCTCGGCTCACTACAAGCTCCACCTCCTGGGTTCACGCCATTCTCCTGCCTCAGCCTCCCAAGTAGCTGGGACTACAGGCGCTGCCATCTCGCCTGGCTAATTTATTTATTTATTTATTTTGTATTTTTAGTAGAGACACGGTTTCACCATGTTGGCCAGGATGGTCTCGATCTCCTAACCTTGTGATCTGCCCACCTTGGCCTCACAAGCACTTGAAGCCTGGCCTCAGACATTTTTATTCCAAGCCACAGGCATGCATCCTGTCCCTGCTCCTGAAGCTCAGGCCCTCCTGCCTTTCGGCAGCCTCGACTGCAGCCATCTTTGCAAACCTCACCACCACTTACTTACTTTTCAGCAAGAACTTCAGCCAAGACCCAAGGGGCCCTTTCCCATTTGCAACAGCTCAGACACAGGACCTGAGCCCCTAAGCCAAGCTCTGGAGTGTGGCGCTGGTCCAGGGAGACATCCAGAGGGTGGGCCTCCCTCCCTGGAAGCAGGAAAGCCACTGGACATGGTGGCAACTTGAGGGTCTGTAGGGAGGGCACTAAGGGAGATGCCACAGGGCTCTCTTCCCTGCCCCATGAAACGTCAGGGAGCTGCTTGGCAGATCTCGGCTTGGAGGCCATTATGTGTCTGCTTCCACACCCTGGACCGTGCAGGCGGGACACAGGGCCCTGCAGAGGATGGGGCACAGGAGGGGTGTCCTGCCAGGTACCCAGCAAGCTCCCTAACCTCCCAGAGCCTCCTGGTCTGTGAGAACACAAAAGGCCACCCTGTGACAAGGACATGGCTGTCCCTCAGGGTCCAGGCACAGCAGCCCCTCTGCTTTTCTGCCTTAGAGTTCTCGGGCTCCTCTGCACATCTCAGAACCTCTCAGTTAACACTTAAGTCCACGGCACTGCATCCTGTGATAACATTTCCAAACATGATAAATTTAAAAGGAAATCCTTCGCTGCTTCCCATAAAGGGATTAAGTTAAAAGTTGGGTCTGTGACCCCGAAAAAAGACACCCATCCATAGACAGGCCACATATACACGGGGTCCCACCTCAGCCAACACAGCAGTGTCAAGCTGTGAGCACCTGGCCACACCATGAGGACGGGGCCTGGTGTGGGCACGGGAACCACACGACCTCCACGTTCTCCCACCCCAGAACCCAGGTCCAATAGTAGAGAGCACAGGCAGCTCTGCTAGAATACCTGAAGGCTTTCTCGCCACAGGGACCCTTGTTGCTGTAGATCCTCCCAGCTCTGGGCCTCCCCTAGCAAGCACCAGGACCTCACTCTCTTCCTGTTCCACACAGCACCCGTCCCCAGGGTCACATGAACAGAACCCAGCCTGACACAGCCACGGAAAAATGTCTAGCAAGGAAAGGACTTTCCCATTCCAGCCGTCACAGACAGCTCTCACGGGCAGCTTGAAGGAGCCACAAGCCTGCACAGCCCCAGATGTGACCACCTCTGTGCAAAGACACGCTGGGGCAGCAGCTACTCCCAGTGGTGCGGGCCGTGTGGGATGTGCACACGGCAGACGAACAGAGCCAGGGTCCCCGGGAGCCAGGAGAGGCCAGACAGCCAGGTCCCACAGGCTCAGGACGGAGGCTTATCAAAAACACTTATTCCTCACAGTCCTGGAGGCAGAAGTCCAAGATCAAGGGATGGGCAGATTCAGTGTCTGGTAAGGTCATCTCCTGGTTCACAGATGGCTCTTCCGGTTGTATATATGCATGGTCGAAGGGGCTGGCTTCCTCTCTGATACCTCTTTCATAAGGGCACTTAATTCCATTCATGAGGCACTGACGCCATGACCTAATCACCTCCCAAAGGCCCCACCTCCAAATATTCATCCCATCACCTTGAGGGTGAAGATTTCAACATACAGATTTCGGGGAAGATGAACATGCACCCCTTAAGCCTCAAGAAATCTGGACTTCAGGGCTGGGCACGGGAGCACACACCTGAATCCCAGCACTGTGGGAGGCCGAGGCGGAAGGATTGCTCAAGCCCAGGAGTTTGAGACCAGCCTGGCCAACATGGTGAAACCCTCTCTCTACTAAAAATACAAAAATTAGCTAGGTGTGATGGTGGGTGCCCGTAATCTAAGCTACTTGGGAGGCAGAGGCAGGGGAATTGCTTGAACCTGGGAGGCAGAGGCTACAGCGAGCTGAGATCACACCACTGCACTCCAGCCTTGGCAACAAGAGTGAGACTCTGTCTCAGAAAAAGAAGAAGAAAAAAAAGAAATCTGTACTTCAGGGCTGGACACAGGGGAATCCCAGCACTGTGGGAGGCCAACGTGAGACGATCATAAGTTTGAGACCAGCCCAGGCAACACACGGAAACCTGGTCTCTACAAAAAAAAAAAAGAGCTGATGTGATGGCATGAGCCTGTGATTCCAACTACTCAAGACGCTGAGGTGGGAGGATTGGTTGGGCTGGGGAGGTCAAAGCTGCAGTGAGTGACTGAGGTGGGAGCATTGCTTGGGCTGGGGAAATCAAGGCTGCAGTGAGTGACTGAGTGCACTGCACTCCAGTGTGGGCAACACAGCAAGACCCTGTCTTTAAAAAACTAAAAGTTTTTAGGCCGGGCGCGGTGGCTCACGCCTGTAATCCCAGCACTTTGGTAGGCCAAGGCGGGCAGATCACGAGGTCAGGAGATTGAGACCATCCTGGCTAACAAGGTGAAACCCCATCTCTGCTAAAAATACAAAAAATTAGGCGGGCGTGGTGGAAGCTACTCGGAAGGCGGAGGCAGGAGAATGGTGTGAACCCAGGAGGCAGAGCTTGCAGTGAGCAGAGATCACACCTCTGTACTCCAGCCTGGGTGACAGAGCGAGACTCTGTCTCAAAAACAAAAAACAAACAAGCAAAAAAAAACTAAAAGTTTTTAAAAACCAACTCTCTACCAATCAATCCCAGCCTGTATCTGCACAGTGGCACAGAGCTGGAGGACACCACAGCCCGCCACCCACCCACACCATGCCCGCCAGGCCGGTGGCACAGTGAGCTTCCCTGCACCCACGGCCCCCAGCACAGCCCCATCACACCACCTCCTCTCTCCTCCACCCTGACATTCTCAGCTCTCCCTGCTCTCCGCCCCTCAGCCCGGGAACTGCCGCTCTGGTCCTGGCTGTGGCCCTCTACTCTGCCCTCTGGACTCCTGAGAGTCAGATCCCAGGTGCTTGTGCCCCCAGGCTCCCACCCTCACAGCCTCCCACGGCCATGGGAACCTCCGCCTGGCTGACTCTCCCCAGGTGTCCATACGGCTCACCACCAACTTTCCAGCTCCACCCGGAGGTCACAGCCCGGTGCCCTATAGAAACTCCCAGCACCCCTTGGGCTCTACTTTTTTCCTGATGTACCATCACGACTCCTCAGTCACCTGCTTCCCACCCGCCTCCCTGCAGGAAGTGAGCACCATGTTGCTAACCCAGCACAGCCAGGGCAGTGGGGACACCCCAACACACTGAATGACTTTCACACGCGACGTTCAGGCCCTGCCGTCTCCTGGCTGCTGCCCCGGGCTCTCTGGGGAAGCCCCAGCCAGAGCACAGTGTAATGCTGGCCCCGCCCACCCACCATGTCCCCTTCCCTGTGGCCCCCGATGGTCTTTGCCCACCCCAACATTAAGACCCTGCCCATCTTCCAGCACTCAGCTGCCATCACACCTCGAACCCTCTTTGCTGCTCGGGCAGCTCAGCAAGGCACCTGTGCCCACTGCCCTCCCACCGCCTCATGCCTGTAGTCACTGGTCGTCTGTGCAGGCCCCCCATGAGGACAGAACCCTAAAAATCACGTTATGATTTGTATTAGGACTGCGGCATTCCTCCACATGGTTACACAGAGTGCACCTCCACGCCACGGAGCACCTGTTGGTGGCGTAGAGGAACCGCTGGAAGGACCCCTAGGGAAGCATGCTGATGGAAAGGCAGAACCCAAATGCTTGCGCACTGTGTCACTCCATTTACAGACCATTCTCGAGATGACAGAATGACAGAGCAGGGGAAGAAACTATAAAAAACTTTTACTGGCCAGGTGTCGTCGCTCACACCTGTAATCCCTGCATTTTGGGAGGCTGAGGCGGGAGCACCCATTGAGCCCAGGAGGTCGAAACCAGCCTGGGAAACACAGTGAGACCCCCTTTCTAAAAACATAAATTTTTAAAAAATAGCTGGGTGTGGGCTGGGCATGGTGGCTGTAACCTGTAATCCCAGCACTTTGGGAAGCCAAGGCAGGCGGATCACAAAGTCAGGAGTTCAAGACCAGACTGGCCAACATGGTGAAACTCCGTCTCTACTAAAAATATAAAAATTAGTCAGGTGTAGTGGCGGATGCCTGTAATCCCAGCTACTCAGGAGGTTGAGGCAGAAGACTCTCTTGAATCCGGGAGGCTGAGGTTGCAGTGAGCTGAGATTGCACCACTGCACTCCAGCCTGGGCAACAGAGCAAGATTCCATCTCAAAAAAAAAAAAAAAAGTTGGGTGTGGTCACACATGTCTGTAGTCCTAGCTACCCAGAAGGCTGAGGCAGGAGCATCACTTGAGCCCAGGAGGTCGAGGCTGCAGTGAGCAGTGATTGAGACCCTGCACTCCAGCCTGGGCAACAGAGCAAGGCCCTGTCTCAAAAGAAAAAAAGTTCTTATAACTCAAAACCAAAAAGAGAAATAACCCAATTTTAAAGTAAAAATGGGA